TTTCACCAGAGGTGAACGGTCCAGCGAAATCCATTGCGACTTCTCTCCAAGGTCCGCTAGGGAGTGACGTCATTCGAAGGGGTTCAAACGGTGGTGACTTGGTCGATGCAGCTTGACATGAAAGACAGTTTTTGACCTTCTCTTCTGTTAGTCTGTCAATTCCGGGGAACAACACTTTGTCTCGGATGAGTTGCTTTGTTTTGACAATCCCCGGGTGACCACCATGTGCCAGGTCTACTGCTTTACTTCTGAGGGTAAATGGTATCACAATTCTGTTTCTTCTCAATACTAGTCCATTGAACACTGATAATTCTTCCTTGAGCTTCTTGTATTTCTGGACGTCAGGGACATCCCATTGGCCAGTTTCCACAGCCTTGATGACAGCTTGCATTTCTGCATCATTTCTGGTTTCTTGTTTTATTTCTTCGAGTGTCATTGCTCTTGGTACAGTATTAGAGCATACATAGTTGGCATAATCTTCAGCCAAATTTTGTCCCTCTGGTGCTGTGGGGCACGGATGTCGGTTCATGTAATCAGCAGGGTTTTCGGCATCTCTTCCAGGTCGATAGATCAGCTGACAGTCGTAGGGCATGAGTCGAAGTTTCCACCTTTCCATTCTTGGGGAGGTTTGCTTGTGGTTCTTGAAGATGCCAATGAGAGGTTTATGATCAGTAATAACAGAAAACTGGGCACCATAAACATACAGATGGAAATTTTCCACTCCCCATACTACGGCAAGCATCTCTCTCTCTCTCTGTTTGGGACTAGCGACTTTCCACGTCACTCAAAGCACGACTCGCATAACCAAGAATTTTGCCTTCTTGTACTAACAGTCCACCAAGACCAGTTGGACTCGCATCGACAATGATTTCGGTCTTCTTTCTTGGATCAAAGTAAGACATAATTTGATCCCCAATGAGGGCTTCTTTCAGCTTGTCCAATGCTTTTTGTTCTTCTTGCTCCCATTTCCAAGGGGTGTCCTGTCGGGTCAACAGGCGCAAAAGGGTCGTGATTGTGGCATAGTCTGGTATGAATCGGGACACGTACTGTGCCATACCAAGAAAAGACTTCAGTTCACTATGGTTCTGAGGAGGTTGTGCCTCATGGATTGCTTTAACTTTCTTTGGATCAGGTCTAACACCGACAGAGCTAAAAATGTGACCATAGAACTTGATTTCAGTTTTGGAAAACGCACACTTGTCTTTGTTCAGACGGAGGTTGTTTTCTTTCAGCCTCTGTA